ATTCACAGCAGATTGCGTAGAACAGATTTTATTTTTGCAAGAGTGATAGGGATGAAGCCTTTATATCAGTTCAAAATCTCAGTTAAGCTATAAAAATCCCAACAGGTCTTCTTCAATTTGATTTAATCTTTGGGATTGTTTGAGGGGGGGGGGACTATTTGTATTATTTAGTAGCAGGGCAAATCATACATTTCTGGCTAAAGGTTGAGGGAAGAGACTAAAATATGCTCTATAAGTATTACCCTTTTGTAAAGAGTTCACCATAAGCATGCTCTGTAATCAGTATGTGAATCCTGTGTATGCGGCAGAGCATCTTTGCCGTGAGGATAATGCTGCGAACGGAGCATTTGGTGTCTAGTGAGATAAGCTGTACTGAGTTGACATGAAGGGAAGGCTAGTCCATTTGTATGATTTTTAATGATGCCATACAGCCTCTGAAGTGTAGGGAACCAACATCTGGCCCCCAATGCAAACAGACAGATGAAGGATTATGTCCGTGTTTAAGCCTGTACTTTTGCGTCCTGTTTGCACATCAGAGAGAGTCTTTATTTATCAATGTCCTCTCTGCCTCTGTACTCAACCATTCACTCTAAGCAGCATGTTTTTGTCAATGGAAAATCACATTCATGTCTAGCAGTTGTATATTGTACTTAAATTAGTAAGTCGCTAAACACTTAACCATTAACCCTTTGTAATTCTGAAGAATTTCAATTAGTCCTATTAGTGATTCATGTTTTAGAAAATTTCAAGTTAAAGCTTTATTACATAAGAGGTGGGTTTTTTTTTTCCTATTAATGTTAATATAGTGACAGGAAGACCACAACAGCCCTGTGGCTTTAAATGAATTAATTAATTGTTTTTAGTGACAGCACGGTGGTGTGATGGTTAGCACTGTTGGTGCTCAGCAAGAAGGTCTTGAGTTTGACTCCACCTCCTGTCTGAAGGGCATGTTCTCCCATGTTTGCATGGGTTCTCTCCGGGTACTCCGGCTTCCTCCCACAGTACAAGAACAGGATTAGGTTAATTAGTGATTCTTAATTGCCTGTAGGTAGAACACAGTAAAGCCGTCTGTGAAAGTTAACACACAAAAAACAGTTTGTGAATGTGAAATTATGTCAACACGGGGTACTTTGTGTAATTTAATTTTTAGGTAGTTCTGAAATGATTAGTTTGACCACAAACTGCAGCAGTTAATCATTTCCAGTTGCAACAAAAGATTTGTATGCAAACTGTTGTGCTGGCTACTTCAAAACCTGCTTCGAGTTGGGTGTTCCAGTTAAGGAGATAAGACTGACGTGATTGTGCTGGAAAGATGACACCAGAAGAACAATATGTAATGAAATCCTGAAAGAAGAGGGCAAACAACACAAGAGGAAGTGGAAAGCACCCACAGAAATCTTATCAACATGATGTATCAATGGAAGAAGGCCAAAAAGGAGACTAAATTGCTCTTGACTAATAAAATATATTTTTTAAAAAGAATCATAAAAAACAAAAAGATGGTGCTTACGTCTGTGAGAATAATCTGTAGACCAGCAGTAAGGCATGGCAGAAGAAGCGTCATAGTTTGGGACTGATGTTCTGCTTCAGGGCTAATATACCTTGCAATCATTAATTTATGCAGTTTACTTTGAAACTGCACCGAGAAATTGTTCCAGGAGAATGTCAAGGCAGCAGTTTATGACCTGAAGTTTGTAAGAGTTTCGGTGATTCAGCAAAACAATGGGCTAAAGCAAATCGACAACAACAGTAAATCATGTCCCAGTGGCCAAGTTAGAGTCCTGACCACAAATCAGCAGAGCTGCAGTGACATAACTGGCTACAGTAAACATTTCAGATGTTTTTAAGAAGCTGCTTTTAGCTACTAAATTCAAGTATTAACTTACTTTCTTCATCCTACACTGTGGCTAACTGGTGCGATCCAAATGACGTGTGTGTGTGTGTCCAAATATTTTTTTTGATTTATGATTTACTAGCTGAATATATGTTGCCAGAGACACAGTAGATGGAGATGTATATATTCAGTGCTGTAAATGCTGATTTTAAAAATCGCTGGCAGCACCCATGGTTTGATTGTACCCATTCTGCTATCTCCACAGTACACTGCACAGCCGTCTGGTGAGCGAGCACACCCAGCTGAAAGAGGAGCTCGAGGTGCTGAGACAGGACAACATCCAGCTGGTCAGGGAGCACAACCATGTGAAACAGGCCTGCGAGGAGCTCAGGAGGCTGCATGATGATGATCAGAGGGAAGTAGCTGATATGAAGATGCTACACCAGCAGGTGCCTGTGTAATTTTTCAGTTCTGTCACCATTCATGTTAAAAAATGGGACACAAACAACATACAGACACAAAAACATAAATGGGTATATACTATCTAGACACTTGCAGACACCCCTTTCCATCTCTAGTTGGCCGCTGACATAAAATCAGTTGGATCTTGACATTTGAGATGGACATTAATTTGCTCTTGTCTCGGTGACCATTATGTCCAAAAGGACAATGTTGTTCAGACAAATGGGGTCAGACAAGCTCTGTCCTCTCCATGTCTCCATCCATCAAAACATTCTTTCAGATTACAAAAATGACTTGACCTGAGTCTCTCACCATTACTCAGTCTGACATTCACCGTGACTGCAGTCACAAGACCATATCATTAAATGTTAGCAATGCCTTATATAACCATGGAGAATGTGTATAACAGGGCTAGTTGATAGCAAGGATACGTTCCCCATTGTCTCTAGAAGTCATGTCATCATTGCATAAACTACTGTTCAGCCTCAGTCAAATTAGGAGTCAAATTAGTTTTAAGTGATGCCAGCCCAGAGAAGACATTTATTGTACAGTTGTTAGATTCCAATTACATACTATAATTTTTCATGTCTAAATGTGTCCTGGTTTGTCCGTTTTTGGCACTCTGTTCATGATTTGGATTAGATTCAATAGTAATTTAAACGTTACGAACAAAATATTTGTAAACATGAAGCCAGACTGAGTCCATTGGATCTCATCAGTGCTTAATTAACTAAATTAACTAAATTAACTTACTGGTAGCAAGTCAAAAAGTTTATTCAGCTGATTTGACAGCAATTCTGTCTGTCAGGTCGACTGTACTTATTGTACATTTGAGCGTCTTCATCTTTTAGCTGTGGTTGCTAATTGGTGAAACTGTGGTAACATTAATCACTGTTTTGACCACAGTCTCCTGCGATTTCTTCCTGTACAGTTCCCACAGAACTAGTAAAATTGAATGGCAATACATTTTTAATGGTAGTTAAGCTTATCCATTCATGCTAAAAGCATGTAGTATACCCCAGTTGCTGCTTGCATCAGAAGCAGACTGCCCTATAGGATGTTAAGAAGCTAGACAGAAGCTAGATACAAGTTATCATCTGGTTCACTACAGTTCAAGTGATATTTCAACAGTTTAAAGTAACATTTTGTTTAATCTCCACTGAAACGGGTAATTAAATGATTTAGGCACTTCACTTTATATTTATATCAAACAGCACAACATTTCAGCATCTACAGAGTTGAAAAGTATTCCGGATAACTTTTTCCAAGTGACTGCATCAGCTCTTATCTTGATATACCGTAGTCCCATTATTGCCCTCTAATTTGTTAAATAACCCGACTTAATGCTATTTGCAGGTAATGAGAGAGGGCTCCTCTGATGTCCTTAACAAGCTCTACGACACAGCTGTGGACAAGTTGGAGGCCGTGAAGAGTGACTATGAGACTCTGAGGAAGTGCTACAATGACAAGTTGGCCAGTCACAATGCCGATTTGAGTCGTTTGGACCAGGCTGAGGAAGAGAACCACCGGCTGCAGAAGCAACTCGACATGCTGCTGAAACAAAGAGATGCTGCCATCCACTATCAGCAGCAATACTCTTCTTCAATAAGAAGGTAAAGCTGGAATTATTAGGTCTACAAAGCCAGCAGGGCTACAAACTTCACACAAAAACTGAGCAACTGTTAAAAAAAACAAACTAAAGAGCAGTTGCAGCAAATTATACTACAAACTGAGTACTTGAGTACAGAGCCAAAGTCAGATCTGCACAGTGCTTAAAATGTGCTTAATCCAATGCAGATGAAGCTTTGCAGATGTCCTCGCAGTTATGGTTTTCTTTTTAGATGTTTAAATTCCACATTTGATCAGTCTATGATCTTATTGTTCATGATTTTAATGTTTTAAAAGGCCAAAAATCATTGAATCCACTGCATTCCTTAATCCCTGCCTGATGCAGGTTTGACAACACCCACCAAGAACTATCCAAGGCCACAGCCCACAATAAGGAGCTACAGCGAGAGATGGAACGGCTGCAGTCTGAGGTGACGCGGCTCAAGACCCAGCAGCTCAAGGCGGCAAAGGACAGCGAGAAGTACAAGGAGGAGCGGGACTCTGTGATCAGTGAATATCGCTTGATCATGAGTGAGCGGGATCAGGTGATCAAAGAGGTGGACAGGCTCCAGACGGGTCTGGAGATGGCAGAGGCGAAGCTAAAGAGCACTTCGTCAGAGAGACGGGTGGCCAGTGAGGAGCTGGAGGCTCTCCGACAGGTAAAAGCTAAAATGAGGGATCATCAGTGAGAACTGAAAACGGTTAACCATTTCACAGACGGGATCAGAAAGCACTGGAGGAATAACTATTGTGATAAGAGACATTTGGAATTATACATGCACTATAAAGAAATTAATTTCTTCAGATTTACAGGGCTCCTTTTAATTTAAGTGAAACTGTTAATGAAGAATGACCATTTGCGTAACATCTGTGTCTTAAATATCTCTTGTCGTTAAACTGCTGAAGTCATTCTTTTTGGCAACAGTCAAAGGTTTAGGGTGGCTAAAAAGTAACCACGTCATGATCACTGCTATTAAAACCCACAGTTCAGGAAGAGAAATTTGGTTATGCTTTTTAACTCTTCTGTGTAAAATGAACTTGAGAAGCTCTCCAAAATAAATACATAAAAAATCCTTTTAAGAGGAGCAAAATTCTTTAGTTCTTCATCTAATAGGAAGTTTGTCTGGCAGCATATCTTTGTGCTGAGATAAGAATGTATTCCTCCCCAAGGAGGGAATTCCAGAATCACAGCGATGTAAGAAACACGTCGGCATAAAAGGAAATGTACAACAATATGCAAATCATATTAAAATATTCCAAAATTCTCAAGGTAAAAATTTAAAAAGATATAGAAATTTACTTTTTTTTTTTTCTTTATTTTCTTTCTTTCTTTCTTTCTTTTTTTTTGATGAAGGAGCTGGCCTCAGCGCTGGTGGACAGGGACCGAGCAATCTGTGAAAAGAATGAGCTGCTGGAGAAATTCTGTCACGAGGTCAAGGACAAAGCTGAGGCCCAAAAGGAGCTGAACCAGGCCTGCAAAGACATCGAAACAGTGCGTGAGGAAAGAGATGTGGCCCGGAAGGAGAGGACGGAGGCCATCATCCAGAGGGACCAGCTGTTGCAAGAGTATTACCAGGCCAGACAGGTAGCCAGACGGACAGATGATTTATCATCACAAATGGAGGGATTGGTTTATTTCTCTGACAGTAATCCCTTCATCCCATCTCACATAGTAGTAGTTTTTTATTTTATTTTTTCTTCAATCGGCTGGCTGGTTTCTACATATTGATTTCTGTTGAGAAATGTGTTACTCACCCATCATTCTGTTTACAGTGATTGTCAGATTAATTATAAAAGTCAGGGATGCCTACATTAGGAAATTACCAATAATTGTAGTGACAGGCCTCACCCTCACTTCCAAGTACACCAGAAATCTGCACTGCGTCAGAAATGGATTGTTAAGCAAAACTGTAGACTGAAATGGAATTAATGCAACAGTGTATCTAGTGCAAGCGCTCTAGATACACCATCAGACTGAGTTTTACATTTGTTTTATTATATCTGGTTTATATACCTAATCCAGTCTATGGCTGTTTTATACATCATAGATGGAAACTACATCTTAGTTTACAGAAATTTGCTTTTGGATGGATGGAGTCAGCTAAGTTGAAAGTTTTGTTTCTTAAAAAAAGCAACAATGTCTTCATAGCTTGTAATTAATACCTTGTATTTTAAAAAACAAAACAAAGCACTTTATTTAGTCTATTGATTAGTGTACAAGCAGAAAAAATAAATGATCTATTATTCAAACAAACCTTTCTCACAGCAGCCATTCTGGCTGCTGCTAGAGGTAAACACAGGTGATACTAATCACATTAAAGCTTCACCTCAATAGAGGACAAGATTCATTATTGTAATTTGTAACAGCTGTGTTTGTGCCATGTCAAGTCAAAACGACTGCTGTCAAACGGGTATTTACATCAATGAGCTTTCAAGGCTTAACTCGCACCAAAATGATGTAAAGCTGATAATTAAAAACATGTGTTGAGTATAATATTACTGCAAAGTTAGTGTACAGAGTGGGTGAAAGATGAAAATACTTTCTTATGACACACATTTAGAGGAATTTGCCACATGTTATCAAATACTATATTGGACTAAAAGCACCTTCACTTCTCCGGTGACATTTATCACCCATCAATTTGATCTACTCCTGCAGGAACAGGACTCTGCCACCATGAACATGGAACGAGCCACCAAGGAGATCGAGATGCTGAGGAAGCAGTATGAGGCCATCTCGCAGGAGCTGAAGGAGGCCTTGCAGGAGGCTGAGGTCGCCAAGTGTCGGCGGGACTGGGCCTTCCAGGAGAGGGACAAGATTGTAGCAGAAAGAGAGAGCATTCGGTAAGAATTTGTTTTTTAAAAATATAGATGTAGATGCATGTCATTGCGAGGAGGCTTGGGCAAAAATAGTTTGTGTGTATTTTATGTGACACCTGATGACAATATGTGCATCACTCAGTACACTGTGTGACAACCTGAGACGAGAAAGGGATAGAGCTGTGAGTGATCTGGCAGACGCTCTGAGGAATCTGGATGACATGAGAAAGCAGAAGAACGATGCGACGCGGGAACTCAAAGAACTAAAGTGCGTTATTTCTCCCAAAAGTTGTTTTTGAGACAGATAAATGTCTTGTGTTCTATTTTAGGTAAACTTGAATATTATTCATTGATTTATATTTGTGTTAAAAGTGCTTCTCTTCCTTAATGATCTTTTGTGCCACCCAGTGGATGAATTTTATTTACACAGGACAGTTCAAATTACTTTGAAATACTTACTGAAGAGCTACATATTTCATGTTTCCTGTAGAGAAAAGTTGGAAGATGAGCTGGAAAAGGAAGCAAGATATCGTCAGCTGATGGCCCACAGTTCACATGATTCAGCCATAGACACTGACTCAATGGAGTGGGAGACAGAAGTTGTAGAATTTGAGAAGCACAGAGTAAGGATCATTTAGAGTTTTCTTTTTT